CACACACACACACACACACACACACACACACACAGACAGACAGAGAGAGAGAGTATTAACAGTGAGGGCTAGTTATTATTCCACTCGGAGTCTGAGCACATTAAAGTCAGACACAATTACATTTCATTCATTTCTTCAGCTTTCATCAGCTTCAGCAAAGACACTTTGTGATGTTTGTGTGATTTAAGGCTTTAATACACTATAACTTTTTATAACAAAAATTTTATGACTAAAATCCTTCACACAATTCAGTGTTCCTTTTAAAAATTGCTTGTACATCTTTCTTTATGCAATATTATTACCAAATCTTGAATGCAATATTTTGGCCAGCTTGTTTTTTCCCAGTCAGCACAGGTTTAGTGTTTCTTATCGGAGCTGATTGATTGATTAGGCCTCATTAATCAGTTTTTCAGTGTGTGTGTGGGGGGGGGGCATTATTTGTGGATAATTTTGGCTTAGAAACTGAGGTGCAAAAGCTCAGATCAGTGTTTATTCAATACAAAACCTGTGCTGATTGAAAAAAAGCAAGGTGACAAAAAGATTGAATCCGAGATTTGGTGACAATTGTATCATTATAAGAAATTTAAAAAGAAAGTTTTGTTCCAGTAATTTTTGAGTGTAACAAGGAGAGCAGGGGAAAAATCAGTTGTTGTTGTTTTTTTTTGCAAAGTTGTTATATAAGTCAGTAAGTTTTACTGTAATGCTCTAACATTAACTAGCATTGTCAGGAAAAAGAAAATCCTCTCCGGTTCAAAATGAGCAGAACTCAACACGAGGGTTAAAACACATCAGACACTAAACGACTGAGGATCTCTGACTCATTCCAAACATGACAATTGAAAGCAATGTCATAAAACTGGCTCAAAGTATCAAACATGTCTGATTTGTAATCACAGACTGAAGCTAAAAGTCACTGTCCATCATATACGACCGACTCCAGAAGAAGCTTCAGTGTGAGGCCTGAAGAAGACGTCTGGGATGAGATGTGCTGCTGCGCTTGGGTTCAGCGAGAGCCGAAGCTGAGCTCACACTAGAAGCAAATGTTTTATATGAAGGTGGTCAGAATAAAGAGTGTCCCGTCTGCAGCGCCGCCGCACTTAACTCTGTAGATAACCAGGACTTTATAGCAGCTCCTGACAGACATGAACACACGGCCACAGAGACAGAGACGCGGAGCTAGAGGTTTAACTCTAACCTGGCATTAAAAAGCATGAATAAATCCTACGATTGCTGATTCACATTACCCCACTAAACATACCCTAACTTCAAATATGAGTCTATTGGAACTTATTTCTCTTATTTCTATCATCTCATTAACCAGTGGTTGAGCAAAGGATCTAACATTAACTTGTATGCTACAGTGAATTTTGTAAATGTTGTTGTTACTTCAAACAGGGCTGCCAGCTTTTGAGTTCAGCCTGGACTGAGAATTATTCAGGAATAATTAGCAAGCTCACGATTAAGAAAATGAAACAGTAGCATATTAATTATTGGGGTTGACCCCCCTCTGGCTCGGAGTCCGTCTGGAGCATCGCTCAATATCATCAATGTGAATGCGAGACCTGACATCAGAAACTCTGCTTGTGTTGGTCTGCTGGCTTCAGTAGTTCAGGGTTAGAGGAAAGCTCAGCGTCTGAGGATCTGTCAGAGGTCAGCAGAAATAATCTTCAGGGGATTCTTCACAGTCGCTCAGGGTTTGAGCTGAGCAGTGGTGGACTCTGGAGGTCCCAGCGAGCGCAGGCTCTTGAGGCTAATGCTCTGGTCGGGTCTGGAGAAGCGAGTCCCCGGAGAGAGTCCAGCCGAAGGCACAAGTTTAAGGTTCCTGTGAACACGAGCCGGCCCACAGGTGTGTCTCGTCCCGTCGCAGCTCCTCCAGCAGCTAACCTTCAGCTTCACAACCTCTGTCCACTAGAGATCAGCTAAATCATCACGCTTCATTTGTGAAGATGATCCCCCTAAAGAAGGCTTGATCCCCCTGATGGACGTCAAAACTAGATGTAGGGGGGATCAGATAGAAAGTAGGCTAGCCTACGCATAAAATGGAGATTTACTTGTAAATATTAATATGTATTTCTATAGCTCTGACTGATTTTGATCAGTCTCCTGAAATGGGTTGCATTGACAGTACCTGAGCGGCTGCAGAATAGCTACAGCGCTCATTTAAAGACATGCATTTATTGCTTGGACAGAGCTAGAACACCTGTCCTGAAATGCATGCGCAGATTCAGTCGAGAGATAAAGTTTACCCTCTTCAACTTAATGCTGTTGAACTGAATTTACGGAGAAAACTATTTGCTAAAATAACCACAACATTAGCAGCAACGCTAAACTACAAGCGTGTGGTAATGTTAGTCAGCTGCGCATGAAAGTTGCAGGTGCTACTATAACAAACACTGCGTGTTTTCTTTCAGAATCATCACTGGCGTTTAGAAAGACAAAAATAGGTTACATAAAAGTTTTTACCTACAGTAAAAATGAAGATAAGATGTGAATAATTACATTTTAGACACATTGTCAGTAATTTCGTCCAACAAAAATAAGGAGAACTGTTGTGCAGCATCTCTGATCAACACACAGAATCCACGATTTTAAACGACTCGACTGAATCAATGATTCGTTTGAATGCTTCGTTTCTGAATGAATCAGCCGTTTGAACAAATCGATTGAATGAATGACTGAATCATTCACTTATTAAGACAGGGATTTGTCACCACCTACTGGCGCTTTTAGTTTTATATTTAGAGTATTGTTTCTTTTTAAAAATCATTTTATATTTCACTAGCCTATTTATTTGTATTTTTGTATGTTGAATTAACATATTTCTTTCTAATTGGCACATGATGTGCATGTTAATTAATTCATTTTATTAATTTGAGATTATTTTGATTAATTAATTGGCACATTATGCATTAATATGCATTGCTAAGAACTTCATTTGGACAACTTTAAAGATGATTTTCTCAATATTTAGATTTTTTTGCACACTCAGATTCCAGATTTTTTTT